CATGAGGAATCAACCTTACTATATGAATGTAGCCACTTTTGCGCTTGTTAGCTGAAATAGTAAAAGGGTATGAACTGATTTAGTTTGTAAAACAAATAGCCAACAGCTTATTTTGTTTGTTCGTTCTGAACTTATGAGGAGAAGAAAATTCGACAGAATAACTATCCAGGGCCGAATGAACATTTTTATGTTAGTAAAATCATATGATCTGTAATTTTGTATTTGACATGGTTTTTGTTATATAAGCAGGCGAAATCTATCAACAATTTCAATGGAATAAATTTACAGCGTAAATAATTGGTTGACGAATCGAATATACATATTTATATTCGAATTACTAATAGATTATTATTACATTTCTTATGTTAACAATTAATGACTATTACGGGGCCTAAATCATAGGTTCTTAAGCGCATAATTATATCTGTAATAATTTTCAAATACCGGGCCCCTATCTGTAATTATTTTCATTTTGGGCCCCTATTTGTAATTATTTTCATTTTGGGGCCCTTATTTGTAAATTCCCCTAAAATGTATAGTGATGAGTCAAAAAGACTTCACTTTTATTAAATAGTATATATATGTGTGTGTAGACAATACAGAAAATTCGTTCTACATTATTTCACCCTATCAAATATTAATAACCACTTCCGACAATTTGTAATTTTTGGTACCTTTTTTAAAACAATATCACAAGGATTGTGAAATTTTATCTTGGTGGATCAAATTTGCGCATATATTGTGTAAAAAAAATGCGTTACAGTTAAGTATAACTAAATTCTGGCCCATGTATATGTTTGATCTCTATAAACGCAATTTCTCTTAAATGCATATTATGAATTGCATTTAGAGAAAGTTTGAATGTATAACGGGGAACTAGCTTGATTAATAAAAGATTCTCCAAAACCTGAAGCAACCGTAATCAATGAAAAATTAAGGGGAAAGAGCTAATTACTGTAAAATTAGTTTGTTTACTGGATTTTCTCATTAACGTTAAGATCAATTATGATATTATTATGCGTTTTCGTGTACGGTTTTAAAAATATTCCTGGAGGTGAATAATATGATTTCTTTTTTTCGTATTCAATAATCAATTCTTTGCTTTCATAGATTTCTTTGTATATGCTTTTTATAATGACAAGAATTTGTTCGATAGTTGGCCTTTTTAAAGGATTTGTGTCCATACATCGGTAAATAAGGTTTTGAATCCTGTTTGGAATCTCGGGTACCATTTGTAACTTTAAGCCACAAATAATTTCTTTCGCTAATTGATAATTGTCAGGTATATAATCGAAAGGCTGGTTTACGGCAAATATTTCCCACATCAAGACTCCTAAACTATAAATATCAGTTGCTTTTGAATATTTTTTATGCAACAATAATTCAGGTGCCATATATGGAACAGTTCCATATAATTTATCTATGCGTTTATCGTCTACTGGACGGCATGATCCTAACCCAGTAAGTAGGCATCTATTTGTGTATAAAAGAATATTTCTACTATGCAAATGGCAGTGAATTAGATCTTGTTGATGGATATTTGACAAAGCTAAACAAATTCGCCAAATAGCAAAGATTTTATCTTTTAAATTTATTCCCCGATTTCTTATTAGATAATCTCGTAAATTGCCATCTGCAAAATAATTCATAACTATGGCATAATTATTATTACCAGGAATTTTAATTTTGGTTATGCCATACGCATTAACAATGTCACCAGATCTAATTTGAATAAATTTTTTTGCCTATGAAAAAATCATATTATAGTTTTATGCACTGTATGTCACTATATATGATACAAAAACATTAAAATATATTTTATTTACCTCTCTAAAAACCATCTCATAAGGATTGCCTGGACTGTTTAAAGATTTTAACACAACCTTCTGAGGGCCACTATAAACAAATTCTTGTTTGCTTTCATTAAAATCTAATATCGCTCCGCGTTTCCATGTTGCGACATATATTGTAGAAATTCCACCCTTTACAAGGGGCGTTATATCTTCTAATTGGTCAGGTGAGATCCATTCCATAATGTGTAGAGGAAGTCCCGAATTTGACTGACATTCGCATATAAATTCATCAATAACTTTACTTCCAGACGTCCAAGTTCCAAAGAAACTTTTTAAATATTTTATAATGCAATTTTCACAATAACGTGTTGAATATCTTGTTAAATTGCAATTATTGCATTTTATTGGTTCACCCCTTTTAAATAATTCTTTTTCTCTTTCGGTATTTCTTAAAACTCTCTCTTGACAAGATTCCTTTTCTTCTTGGGTAAGTGCTGAGTTCTCATATAATAACTTGTTAAAGACTTTTAGTGCTTCTTCATAGTTCGAAGAATACAACTCAGCATAATAGATAAGTTCAAAGTAAGTTTTGCTTACTAAGTCTTTTCTAATTACTTTCATTTTTTTTTTTTTAAAAAAAAAAGGGACAAAAACAGATTGCAATTTCTTTAACACTGCACTCTCTAATTTTGAAATGCGTTTTTATAACAAAATCAAATAAAAAATAATAGGCTACTATAATTTCTAATTTAGTTCGGTCTAATCAATCTATAAGGAATTTCGTCAAGAAAAAGTAACCAGCCAGCTGTGTAACATGTTGAAAAAAAGTGATTCTACGTAGAATGTTGGGGTATTTCACGCACTAATTAATCAAAACTATGCAAGGTGCTATAATAATGCGACTATTATAAGATTTTATGCA